AAACCATGTCAGAATCTAGAGACATGAATGATTGAACTATGAGAGAGTTGGGTACAAGTATGAAACCCTAAAAAAGGTTGTACCCCATATTGGCTACCCCACTACAGCCTACACATATATAACATGCATATACTTTGACATATTTGAAGTGTAGCAGCGAGTGTCTCCATATCGAGAATGGTGACCCACCTGGCGAGCTATAAGGGTGCAACCGCGCACAGTGGTTGCGACCCTCGTGGCAGCTGGAGCGTCTAAATGGGCAGGGGGCAGCATGTACAGTACGCGAAACCGCCGTGCAGGGCGCGGCGGATTACCGCGGCATTGCCGAAGCTGAACAGTCTCGCCATCTCGACTGCAACAGGCCAACCGAAGCGTCGCAGTGCAACTGTTATACAGTTGCGCTACGGTAACTGTCGGCCCTATCTGTTTCCTATATAACCCAATGTACTGCATTGTTATTATCACACAATTATCATCCTTGTGTCCGGCTTTCCGTCGACCGCCGCAGTGGCACCACGTGCCAGGCCAGAAGTGCTACATCTGAGTGGCCATTGCCCTGCCGTAGGGACGTCGTTATACTCCTAGAGCATTCCGCTGCGCTCTAGCGACCTATGGATTTTATCAGAACTTACATACCTAAATGATGGGTCTGTTTGTGATGAAATTGATCGTGTTCAACACACGTAGCCCATGAGCGTAAGCAACTAGATTGCAGATCACGTTGCATGTTACGACCAATATGTGCATGCATATAAATGGATGGACTGTGATGAACACACTAAAATCTATCTACACTATCGAACAAAGATACGTGGGGTAATCGTCAATGCAATTACCGCGATAAGAGATCGACAACAATGTTAGGAACAGAATGAAGAAGAAATGTTTGAGTAAGAGAAGTGAGAAGTACTAGTACGAATGGCTAGCCACTACAGCCTAAACAGCATGGTAAAATATTTTGACAAATAGTAGTTGGGGTTTATGTCAAAACATATATGTTTATATTGTTCTAGGCTGTAGAGGGTTTAGTCTTAAGGGTTACAACATTTATGTCGACCTTGTACTTGTACTCCCCTCTTGACTTGATGCACTCATCCTTAGTTTCTAACATGGTAGCAGAGCCATGGTTGTGACTGACCCTACTTTTTCGTCTCCTCCTGCGTCTGCCTTAGTCGCTGAGCTTGTTGACTTTGCTGCCCTGTGCCGCCTTGACTACGCTGCGAGTCTTGTTTTTTACTCTTCCTGTCCTCCGTCCGTCGGGGGTGATCTTGCCCTTGGCTGTGACGTCCTTGAGGACAGGCAGTTTGAGTTGGAGTGCATAGCGGCCACTGCACCTCATCTCGAGTCCACGCTACTTTGCCCTGAGGGAGACCCGGATGCACTAGAAATCCCAGCCCCGCGCTCTTACGCAGAGGCGATCACGGGTCCGTACTCCTCTCAGTGGCAGATAGCTATGGACTCAGAGATGGCTTCCTGGAAGTCCACAGGGACCTACGCCGATGCAGTTCCCCCACCTAAGGCAAACATAGTCGATGACATGTTGATTTTCAGGGTGAAACGGCCACCGGGTTCTCCGCCTGCCTTCAAGGCGCGTTACGTTGCATGAGGCTTCAGTCAGCGTGAGGGGGTCGACTTCTTCCAGACCTTCTCACCCACCCCGAAGATGACCAGTCTTCGGGTGTTACTGCACGTTGCAGCACTACGTGACTACGAGCTGCACTCCCTCGACTTCTCGATAGCCTTCTTGCAGGGCAGCCTTCACGAGGCTATCTGGCTGCGCCGCCCACCTGGCTTCACTGGGTCGTTTCCTGCAGGTACCCAGTGGAGCCTTCGGCGGCCAGTGTACGGTCTGCGTCAGGCGCTCCGTGAGTGGCACGACACACGAAGGACTTGCGGCTCTTGGTTTCGCTCCCTCGACTGCTGACCCTTCGCTGTTTCTGCTCACAGACAATTCTCTGCCGCCGTTCTACGTTCTTATGTACGTTGACGACTTGGTTTTTGCTACTGCTGACACTGTGGCTCTGGCCTTGGTGAAGGCGGAGCTGCAAGAGAGACACACTTGCACTGACCTGGGTGAGCTGCGGAGTTACCTTGGCTTGCAGATCACCCGGGACAGAGCACGCCGCACCATCACCCTCTCTCAGTCGCACATGGTGCAGCAGGTCCTTCAGCGCTTCGACTTCATGTGGTCCTCGCCACAGCCCACTCCTCTGTCTACCGGCCACTCGCTCTCAGCTCCACCTTCGGACGAGTCCGTAGAGCCAAGTGGTCCGTACCCAGAGCTTGTGGGTTGCCTCATGTACCTGATGACGTGCACACGACCTGACCTCGCGTACCCTCTCAGCCTCTTGGCTCGCTACGTGGCTCCCGGTAGGCATCGAAAGATGCACTGGGATGCTGTGAAGAGGGTATTGCGTTACTTGTGCAACACATCGGGCATGGGGCTCGTGCTTGGAGGACGGGGTTCAGTTGTTCTCACCGGTCACTCAGAAGCTTCTTGGGCTGACGACCAGACTACTCACCGGTCGACACAGGGGTACAGTTTCAGCCTCGGCACTGGTTCTGTCTCGTGGAGGTCCACTCGCTCTTCCTCTGTACTTAGTTCCAGCTGTGAGGCCGAGATCTACGCTGGGGCTATGGCTGCACAGGAGCTCCGGTGGCTGACCTACCTGCTAACCGACTTGGGTGAGCGGCCTCGTTCTCCTCCAGTTCTGTACGTCGACAACAAGGCCATGATTGCCTTGTGTCAGGACCAGAGACTGGAGCATAGAACGAAGCACATTGCTCTCCGTTACTTCCTCACGCGAGAGCTGCAGCAGCGTGGTCAGCTTCGTCTTGCTTACGTGGCCACTCGGGCCAACACTGCTGATGTCTTCACCAAGGCCCTTGCTTTTCTCAGCCCAACATATTGTTATAGGCTGTAATGGGTTTAGCCTTAGGGGGTACAACATTTCTCCCGACCTTGTAATTGTACTCCCCTCTTGAGCTAATGCACTCATCCTTAGTTTCTAACAGTTTATAACTAGGCAACATGTACGACTCGAAAATGTACGTTCGCACGTGCTCCATCGGATGTTCAAGTGCGCAAACACATAACGCGTCACGCCATACGTAACAATTCACCGATATTCATTTGAACCAATATATTAACATCTATGTAAATTGCTCGCGGATTAGCTCAACCAGGGTCTCGAATCCTGTGCGTCAAATCAACCATGCCTAGTTGTTTTGGAGATTTTTGATTGCTTTCAGGGATCTACAATCAATTTGTGGAGTCCCCGAATGAGCTTAAATGGGGCAGTATTTTTTTCAGCCCATAAAATAACCAGGCATGTCATGATTAGCACAGAGTGACACCACCCTTAGCACCCTTCCCTTAACAAGAGTCCAACTCATATGTTTTAAGGGGGCATTCTATAGGTAAAAGGGTTGTTGAACCTTTTCTGTGATTCAACCGATTCCGGTAGGTTCACTGCATGCACAATTTACATGCGCTATGAACGAACTCGTTACCCTGGCCGGAGTCCAACCAAACCATCTCCAGCTTCACCTTCGGCAACACCAAGGTGCCAGAAAGCAGCAATGTACACCAAACAGCTTTGAGAACTCCATTGATGCCTCTCGCACCATGCGCATCTGCCTGGCAGGCACAACAACCTGACACATCTGCTCGACGCATCTGTCTCGAATCCAAAGCCTTGGTAGTAGTCATTGGATGTTCTCAAGAGCAGTCGCTTGTAAGAGGAGTTAGCAAACTCAATTCGACATTCGAGTCGGCTCGCGATGACGACAGCGGGTGCTCTTTGAGCCCGAATCGTCACGTGTGAACAGTGTTCCAGGGTATTTCGAGCTGATGCCGTGTGTCAGTGTCAGCCGAGTCAACGGAATTTGATAATGCATTATACCCAGCGTTACTTCAGTTGCTGAAAGACTAACTTATCCCGATCAAACTGCTCATTATCCCTGAAAATGTGGGATGTTAGACTGGATTCCCGGCGGCGCTGGCAACAGCTGGCGAACAATCTGTTCGCCTGTGGTTGCTCTCGTGGTGATCTGGCTGCTGGGAATGATAATCTGGAACAGCGGAATCATCAGGTACAGTATCGTGACTATGTTTTACGTGCCTCAAACACGCATGTGAATAGAAAGGTCGCCCTCTTGGTGATCTGGCTGCTGGGAATGATAATATGGAACAACGGAATCATCAGGTACGAATTCGTGCTTATCTTCTAGGTGCCTCAAACACGCGGATTGTATGTGAATAGAAGGGTCTTTCTCGTGGTGATCTGGCTGCTGGGACTGATAATCTGGAACAGCAGGATTATCAGGTACGCACCCGAGACCATCTGGGCTGCATTCCCGGCTGTGCTGGCAACAGCTGGCGAAGGATATGCTCTCGTGTGATCGCTCTCGTGGTGATCGGGCTGCTGGGACTGATAATCTGGAACAGCGGGATTATCAGGTACGCACCCGAGACCATCTGGGCTGCATTCCCGGCGGTGCTGGCAACAGCTGGCGAACAATCTGCTCGCCGGTGATCGCTCTCGTGGTGATCTGGCTGCTGGGAATGATCATCTGGAACGGCGGGATCATCAGGCACGAGCTCGTGACAAAACTCAAACCTGTATTAGCATTTGCCTTCTACCACTTGCAATTTGAGGTAGGGCTGAGTTCCGTTCTCTGTTCCCCGCTTCACGTCTTCTTCCTTTCCCTTCGACTGAATGCACGTCTTCTTCCTTTCCCTTTGACTGAATGCACGTCTTCTTCCTTTCCCTTTGACTGAATGCACGTCTTCTTCCTTTCCCTTCGACTGAATGCACGTCTTCTTCCTTTCCCTTTGACTGAATGCACGACTTCTTCCTTTCCCTTCGACTGAATGCACGTCTTCTTCCTTTCCCTTCGACTGAATGCACGTCTTTTTCCTTTCCCTTCGACTGAATGCACGTCTTTTTCCTTTCCCTTCGACTGAATGCACGTCTTTTTCCTTTCCCTCCGACTGAATGCACGTCTTTTTCTCCGTCCTGCACTGCAGCCTGAAGAAGCAAACCACAGCTCCATCCGACTCACCTACCGGCCTGGACGCGTCATCTGAGTACGGCGACGATACCACTTCAATGGCTGATGGTTCCACTGATGACAGCTCGGATCTCACCCCCTCCTTTACCAATAAGATGTCGTCTGGGGGAGGATTCATGGGAGGCTTGGGAACAGGCTCGAGAGCTGGCTCGGGAGCAGGATTTGGAGCAGGTTCGGGAGCAGGTTCGGGAGCAGGATTCGGGGCAGTGGATGAAGGTCTGGATGCCGAGGATGGGGACGGGGAGACGGGTCTACAGTCGGGATTCCCAAGGTCCTCTGGCACCACTGGCGCTGGTCGGATGGGGGGTCTGAACTCAGGGGAATCTTCCAGAACTTCCGCCTGGGGCAACAGGGGCGGGTTGGGAGCAGATGGAGGGGAGGATGAGGATGACATGATGGGAACTGGTGGGAGTGGTGGGTCGCGGAATGGATTTAGCAGTAGCAGCAGCAGCAGAGACGGTATGTGGGGAGGTAGCAGCAGTGGTGGTGCTGCAGGGGGAGGTAGACTTGATGGAGGTGGTTCTGGGGCAGGCGGAAGCAGGTGGGGAGGGGGAGGCGCGGCCACGTGGGGAGGGAGAGGCGGGATGATGGGTATGTCAGGGGAGGATGAGGAGGAGGATGGAGACAGCCGCGCTGGTGGCGGTGGGCTTGGGATTTCCAGCAGTCGTGTGCCTAAAACGGGTTCTAGATCATGGGGAATGGACGGTGAGGATGATATGGAGACTGGTGGTGGTGGGAATAGGGGCGGGTTGGGATCCCGAAGTGGGACGGGTGGGTTTGGTAGAGGGGGAAGGGGTGGGGGGAGGGTGAGAGGAGGTGAGGAGGAAGAGGAAGGGGAGGAGGAAGAAGAGGAGGAAGCGGGAGGGGAGGAGGAGGAAGAGGAAGAAGAGGAAGAGAGCGAGGAGGGAGAGGAGGGGGATGAGGAGGAGGAGGAGGAAAGCGATCGGGGACGGGGCAGAGGGAGGGCTAAGCGGAAGAAGGGAGGGCGGCGGGACAAAGGTGCTGCGGCAGATGAAGATGAGGAAGATGAGGAGGAGGAGGAAGGAGAAGGAGAGGGAGGAGACGAGGAGGAGGACGAAGATGAGGAGGAGGAGGTATCCAGCAGCAAGAAGGGGAGGAAGGGCCGTGGTGCTGCTAGGAAAAAAACTGGGAAAGGAGCGAGGAAGAGAAAAGGAAGCTATGAGGACGAGGAGGAAGAGGAAGAGGAGGAGGAGGAGGCAGAAGAATCAGAAGAGGAGGAGGAGGACGCAGCGAGAACCAAGAAGAAGAAGCTTGGTGGCGCATCCAAGAAGGGGCGGAAGGGGAAGAAGGGGAGGAAAGCGACGAAGAAGGGGAAGCGGGATGCAGGGGAGGAGGATCTCGATTCAGCCAATCTCGATTTGGTGGACATGGAAGGGAAGAAAGCAGTCAACGAGGCTGAGAGAGCAGAGGAGGAGGCAGAGCGGGCAGTGGCAGAAGCAGATGGGGAGACAGGTGCTAAAACGGTGGATAGCGCAGTTCAGAGCATGCCAGAGAGTGATGTGGCTCAGATATACTACTCTGTGAAGACTGCCCAACGAGGTGAGTGAGTCAAGGTTTTGAGTGAGTAAGGTGAGTAAGCCAGAGTGTCCCAATGTGAACGGTGTATGAGTTGCCTGAATAGCATGGTTCAGAGCATGCCAGAGAGTGATGTGGCTCAGATATACTACTCTGTGAAGACTGCCCAACGAGGTGCGTCAGTCAGGCTCTGTGTGTGAGTGAGTATGGTGAGTATGTCGACTAACAGTGTTTGAGTAAGGTGGTGTTGATCAGATCAGGGTTTGCTTGCGTGGATTTCTGAGTGAGTCAGGACTTGATTGAGTAAGGTGAAGTTGAAAACATGTCGACCCACCGGCTGCGCAACGTGTCGTTCCATCGCATCCCAGGGACCCCCGTCACGGGGCAACACGTGCTGGACTGAAATCCTTCCCACTCTTCTCCTGTGATTGCAAATTGCAGGCGTGGAATTGGCTCAACTGGACGACGAGGAGGAGGAAGAGGAAGACGGCATGTCGACCCACCGCCTGCGCAACGTGGCATTCCTGCGCATCCCAGGGACGCCCGTGACGGGGCAGCGAGTGCTGAGTTCCAACTAAACATCGCCCATTGCCTCACCCTCTGCTCCCCTTCCACAGGTGTGGAGTCGGCTCAAATGGACGAGGAGGAGGAGGAAGAAGACGGCATGTCGACCCACCGGCTGCGCAACGTGGCGTTCCTTCGCATCCTCGGGACGCCCGTGACAAGGCAGCGCGTGCTGGACTCAAATCCTCCCCTCTCCACTCTTCTCCTGTGTTTGCAAATTGCAGGCGTGGAGTCGGCTCAAATGGACGAGGAGGAGGAGGAAGACGAAGGCATGTCGACCCACCGGCTGCGCAACGTGGCATTCCTGCGCATCCCCGGGACCCCCGTCACGGGGCAGCGCGTCCTGGACTTCGAGCGCCAGCTGGCGTGTGTGTCGCGCGACGGGCTGTGGGCGGTGAACTCGACGCCAAGGTGGATGCCGTGGGACCTCAACCCGCTGACTGTTGCTCGCCAGCCCAACTACCGCTCCTGCGACCTGCTCTTTGCCAAGAGGTGCGGTTCAGTGCGGTGTGGTCCAGTGTGGTATGGTAGTCTGGTATGGTGTGGTACAGCGCGGTACAGTGCGATGGTTAGCGGTACACTTTAGGGGTTCATCCCAATGCTGGCGTGCGTGTCCCGCGACGGGCTGTGGGCGGTGAACTCGACGCCAAGGTGGATGCCGTGGGACCTCAATCCGCTGAGTATTGATCGCCAGCCCAACTACCGCTCCTGCGACCTGCTCTTCGCCAAGAGGTGCGGTGTTGTCCAGTGTGGTACGGTATGGTCTGGTATGGTGTGGTACAATGCGGTGGTGACTGTGCTGGACTTTGAGCGCCAGCTGGCGTGTGTGTCGCGCCATTTGACCCTCCCACTACATTTATCCCTCGTGCCTTGTATCGTTCCACCTCCCCAACCCTTCGTGTCTCGCTGTCCTGTTCAGAAAGGGCGGTGTGTTTGGGGCAGCAGCGGAGTGGGCGAGGCGAGCCCCCAACACAAGAAGAGCATGGCGGGTGCGCCAGGAGCTGCTGTACCAGTGGCGCCCCTCCCGCCCCCACCGCTGCCCATTTCCCCACCCATTCCACTGCACTATAAGCCGATTTCCAAACCGCCTCAAAACAACACGAATGCTTCCTGCTCCGTCTGTCCCCCTTCCCAACCTCCCACCTGCCCAACCCTCCCCTGTTTGTCCTGTCCTATCTCAGGAAGGGCGGTGTGTTTGGGGCAGCAGCGGAGCGGGCACGGAGGTTGCCCAACGCAAGAGCAGCATGGCGGGTGCGGCGGGAGCTGCTGTACCAGTGGCGCCCCGCCAGCCCCCTCCGTTGCCCCTTCCAGCAGTTCGACCGCGCGGGGTTCTGCCGTGCTGTGAGGGGGCGCAACGTGGTGGTGGTGGGGGATGCGTTTAGTCTCGACTGGCACGACGCGCTGGTCAACCACCTTGTCACTGCGGGGACTAAGAACAGGGCAGGGCAGCTGGGCGATGCCTGGTAAGTCAGTCCTGAGGCGCCTCAAGAAGGAGTGGGTGTGAGGGGGCGCAACGTGGTGGTGGTGGGGGATGCGTTTAGTCTCGACTGGCATGATGCTCTGCTCAACCACTTGATCACTGCCCAGACCAAGCACAGGGCAGGGCAGCTGGGCGATGCCTGGTGGGTTCTGGCGGGGCTATGGGGAGTATTAAGCTTTTATGAGGGGTGCTGGGGGTTGCCTGGTGAGTCTGGGTTGCATTGCATATGTACACCCGTGGGTTTCAGGGTTTGCAGTGCGGTATGGGCAAGGGATCAGCAGCACAGCAGCATCTTGGGTTTGAATGGATCATTGCTCAAAAGGTCACATGCATTTTTCTCTCCCCACTCACCCACCAGGGCCAACGTCACAGAAGGGGCCTGCTTTGAAAGGGGACACCGCCTCTGCACCGACGTCCCACTCATTCCCCCCTCCACCCCCACCGCTGCTGCTGCTGCTGCTGCTGCTTCTGCTGACTCCTCAACTCTTGATGACCCAGACTCTGATCCCGCCACTGCTAGTGCTACTGGTGTCGGTGGCTTCACTGCTGGTGGTTCGGCTGCTGCTGCTGCTGCCGCTGCTGGTGCTGGCGGTGGTGGTGGTGGAATGGGTGTTGAGGTTTCTGGTCGTCGTTCTCGCTTTGGGGCTGCTGCTGATGCATCTGAGGAGGACACAGGGGGAGAGGATGGGCAGGACAGGGGTGAGGAGGAGGGTGCAAGGGGGAGGCAGGCGAGTGGCGACGCGGGTGTGGGTGGACTCAGAAGTGGGTTTCAGAGGAAGGGCTGGGGACGAGGCAGAGGGCTGGCTGGGAGAGTGAGGTCTGGCGACTGGGAGGCGGACAAGAGGAGTGGGGAGGCTGGCGGACTGGGAAGCAGAGAAAGGAGTGAAAGTGGGGAGGGCGAAGAAGCAGAGCCGACGGGGTTTACTAGAGTGGAGGAGGAAGGGGAGGAAGGGGGAGTGGGAAGTGGGGGTGGCCGAGCAGCGAGGGCCGGGAGGAAGAGGAGGGCAGTCGGTAGGCAGGGGGTTGGCGGAGATGTGCTAAACCAAGGGCTTAGCAAAGAGGGCAGTGGTGCGAGTCAGCCCCTTAACAGCAAGGAGGGAGGGGGTGGTGTGGTGGTGAGGAGGAGGAGGATGGCGGGGTTCAATCTGCGGGTGGTGCTGAACGCCTTTGCAGCACCGGACACGGGGCGGCCCACGCGGCTCAACAACCGCTGGCTCAAGCGCCTCAAGAAGTGGAAAACCAACATCCTGGTGCTCTCCCGCACCCCGGCCTTTGGTGACAGTGAGTGGGGGGAGGGAGGGGGGTGATGGGGGGGAGGAGGGTTCTCTGTTGCGACTACCGTGGCAGGTCTTTAACCTTTCAAGCGCCTCAAGAAGTGGAAGACCGGCATCCTCGTGCTCTCCTGCACCTCCGCCTTCGGCGACAGTGGGGATGTGGGTTCTCTTCTCTTCGTCGTCGAGTTTCAGACATGTCTCAGTGCAGCGCGCTGGGGATGTGGGTTCTCTTCTCTTCGTCGTCGAGTTTCAGACATGTCTCAGTGCAGCGCGCTGGGGATGTGGGTTCTCTTCTCTTCGTCGTCGAGTTTCAGACATGTCTCAGTGCAGCGCGCTGTGGATGTGGGTTCTCTTCTCTTCGTCGTCGAGTTTCAGACATGTCTCAGTGCAGCGCTCTGGGGATGTGGGTTCTCTTCTCTTCGTCGTCGCCGCATCCAGCAGAGGAGGATGAGATGTTTCGTGAGAATGTATCTCCTGAGGCCTATGTTGTTGGATGCAGGAGGTTAGGGATAGATACCAGTGAGGGACCTGACCTGTATCTGCACATGCTTGTTATCCGTGCTGGCACAACGAACGAACATCCGTCCTAATGTTTCTCCCTGTCCTTCTTTTCTCTTCTCCAGAGGAGCTGATGCTGCAGGAGGTGCAAGACACCCTCGAAGCCGTAAGAGACCGGTACCCGGACATGCTTGTCAACTGATGGCCACGTGTAATGAGGGTATTTTTGAGACGTCTCAAAAATACCCTCATTACACGTGTTTTGAGACGTCTCAAAAATACCCAGACACGCTTGTCATCTGATGGCCTGTCCCCCTTGCCTTGCCCTTATTGATTTCCCAAATCTTCCAGAGGAGCTGATGCTGCAGGAGGTGCAAGACACCCTCGAAGCCATAAGAGACCGGTACCCGGACATGCTTGTCATCTGATGGCCTATCCCCCTTGCCTTGCCCCTATTTCCCAAATCTTTCAAAGGAGTTGATACTGCAGGAGGTGCGAGATACCCTGGACACCCTAAGAGACCTGTACCCAGACATGCTCGTCATCTGATGGCCTGTCCCCCTTGCCTTGCCCCTATAATCCAAATTCTTCAGAGGAGCTGATGCTGCAGGAAGTGAGGGACACGCTAGAAGCTGTGAGGGACCTGTACCCGGACATGCTTGTCATCTGGCTCAGTGCGGTGGGCGGCCATCCCAGCTGCCAGCACTTCACCCGCCCATACCACTTAGTCCCTTTCTCCCTTGCCCATACGCTTCCCCTCCTCCTTCAGAGGAGCTGATGCTGCAGGAGGTGCGAGATATCCTAGAAGCAGTGAGGGACCTGTACCCGGACATGCTTGTCATCTCATGGCCTGTCACCCTTGCCTTGCCCCTATCTCCCCATGCAATGCAAACAGAGGAGCTGATGCTACAGGAAGTGCGAGATACCCTCGAGGCAGTGAGGGACCTGTATCCGGACATGCTTGTCATCTGGCGCAGCGCGGTGGGCGGCCATCCCAGCTGTCAGCACTTCACACGCCCGCTCAGGACCCGCCCCGCCCTGCTGGCCGCCAAGGGGAAGATTCCCGACGCGTGGCTCCGGCATGCCGAGATGAACGCTGCCATCAGACCGCTGCTCAAGGTGTGTGATTGCTCTAGGCGTGCTTTAGTTTAGTTTACGTGCATGCCCGGCCCGCCCCACCACTGCCTGCCTTGCTGCTGCTGCTGCAGGTGGCGCTGGTGCTGGTGCTGCTGTGGTTGGTGCCCCCGCTTCTGACCTCTGTCCTCTCTCAACCCCCCTCCCCCTCCCCAAACCACACAGGAGTACGGGGCAGTGTACATGGACGTGGACTCGCCCACCTCCCTTACTAAGTCCTGACCTCTGTCTTCTCTCACCCGCTCACCCCCCCCCCCCACCCCCCCAGGAGTACGGGGCAGTGTACATGGACGTGGACTCGCCCACCTCCCTTCGCCCCGACGGGCATCACGAGCGCATGGACGGCAGCATCAACTGCCACCACTACTGCATGCCCGGCCCGCTCGACCACTGGGTGTCTCTCTTCCACAACCTGCTGCTGCTGCTCGACCAACACTCCCCCCTGACCGCCCTCCCTGCTGCTGCTGCTGCTTCTGCTGCTGCTTCTGCTGGTGCTGCTGGTGCTGCTGGTGGTGTTGGTGGTGGTGGCGGTGCTGCTGGTGTTGGTGGTGGCGACGGTTTGTCTAGTTCTGGTTTCGGTGGTGCTGCCGGTGCTTCTGGGTCTAGTGCTGCTGCTGCTGGTGGGGTGCCAGCGGTGAAGGTGAGTGGGGTGGTGGGGGAGGGGGGAGTGGTGGTGGAAGAGGAGGATCTCTCTGACGTACCCAGAGGAGGGAGGTGGCGCAGCAAGGGGGACATAGAGGAGGAGGAGAGGGGGAGGGAGGATGGAGGAGGAGGTATGGTGGGGGTAGGCGGTTCGGAAGGGTTTGAGGGAGCAGGGATTGTGGGAGGGGGGATGGGAGTGGGAGGAGGGTTGGGTGAGGGGCAAGTGGAAGGGAGTGGTGGAGATGGGCGTGGAGGGGTGGAGAGCTCTCAAGAGGCAGATGCGGCCGGTGCAGGACCAGGGACTGTTGGTGCTGATGGTGCTGCTGCGGCTGCGTCTGCTGCTGATGGTGGTTCGGAAGGGGGGCCTGGGAGTGGTGAAGCAACAGGAGGGGTTGGAGGGGCGGGAGGAGGAACAACAGCTGCAGGTGCTGCAGAAAAGGAGGCGACAGCTTCTTCCGATGCTGGTGCTGCTGGCTCTGCCACTGCTGCCATGACCATCACTCCTGCTGCTGCTGCTGCTGCTGCTGGCACTGCCAGTGGTGGCGAAGGTGCAAGTGTTGGAGTGGGAGCGGGTAAAGAAGCAGCCACAGCCACTGCCACTGCCGCTGCAGCTGCGGCTGCTACTCCTGCCACTGCTGCTCCTGTTTTGGAGCGTAAGTGACTCCTTGAGTTGCCCCCTCCTGTCTTGTTGCTTTGCATTTGCCAGCCAACTTGTTACGATGCACCCTTCACGTCCCCCTCACACCCCCCTCTTCTCCCCACTTCATCCCTCTTACCTCCACGTCACTCCTCTTCACCCCTCTTCCCTCCCTTTCCTCCACCCTCTCCAGCCTGCACCAACTTCTCGGCGTGCATCCCAGGGACGCGCATTCGGGGCGAAGCAGCAGTGGCGGAGGCGCAGCAGGAGGTGGCGTGTGTGGCGGAGGATGGCAAGTGGGTGCGCTTCAACACGCCCCGCTGGCTGCCCTGGTCCCGCGACCCCCACACCAACCCACGCGCACCACATTATGGCACTTGTGATCTCATGCATGTGAACGAGTGAGTGCCTCTTTAGAGGTGCCTGAAAGGTGGACCTTTGAGGTGCATCACATGCGACCTCATGCATGCATGCCTACAAGTGAGCTGCGCGCTAGTGAGTGAGTGAGCTAGTGAGCGAGTGAGGGAGGGAGGCGCAGCAGGAGGTGGCGTGTGTGGCGGAGGATGGCAAGTGGGTGCGCTTCAACACGCCCCGCTGGCTGCCCTGGTCCCGCGACCTGCACACCAACCCGCGGGCGCCTCACTACGGCACGTGCGACTTGATGCATGTCAACGAGTGAGTGTGTGAATGAGTGGAGAGCACATGCCCTGCCCTGATCTCACGGCCCCCACACTAACCCGCGCGCGCCGCTCTACGGCACGTGCGACTTAATGCATGTCCACGAGTGAGTGCCACTAGAGGTCTGAACTGAATGCCTCTTCTGTTGATGTCTGCTTTTGAGGTGCCTCAAAAGTAGGCACCGCACTACGGCACGTGCGACTTAATGCATGTCCACGAGTGAGTGCCGTGCCACTAGAGGTCTGAACTGAATGCCTCTTAGTGCCGTGCCACTAGAGGTCTGAACTGAATGCCTCTTAGTGCCGTGCCACTAGAGGTCTGAACTGAATGCCTCTTAGTGCCGTGCCACTAGAGGTCTGAACTGAATGCCTCTTAGTGCCGTGCCACTAGAGGTCTGAACTGAATGCCTCTTAGTGCCGTGCCACTAGAGGTCTGAACTGAATGCCTCTTAGTGCCGTGCCACTAGAGGTCTGAACTGAATGCCTCTTAGTGCCGTGCCACTAGAGGTCTGAACTGAATGCCTCTTGGTGCCGTGCCACTAGAGGTCTGAACTGAATGCCTCTTGTGTTGATGTCTGTGCATGGGTTCAACCTACTATTCCTTCCTGTCCTCCCTCTTCCTGCTTCCTACTCTCTCCTTCCATCTCTCCTCTCTTGTCTCCACCTCCCCACCTCCCAGCCTCCCCAACTCCCCCAACACCTTCATTCTTCCCGCTGGCAGGACCGGGGGCAAGGGCAAGTTTCATAAGAATCATTTTGGGACATCTCAAAATACTTCTTCGCAGCAAGGCCTCCGCAGCCCACCTGTCCTCTCTTGACAGTTCCAACTCCCCCAACACCCTCATGCTTCCCGCCGTCAGGACCGGGGGCAAGGGCAAGTTTCATAAGAATCCGGGCGACCAGGAGTGGCATGTGCGGCCAGAGCTCAAGTACCAGTGGATGGCCAACTGTTTCTGCCCACCGTTCATGGGGTTCAACCGTCTCTTCCTCCTCCCATCCCATCTCCCTCATCCTCCCCTCCTTCCGTTTCTCCTCTCGTGTCCCCACCTCCCCACCGCCCCAACCTCCTACCTCCAACCCCTTTTCCTTTTCTGCTGACAGGACCGGCGGTAAGGGCATGTACGGGTATGCAGCGGACAAGTTTCGGAAGAATCCGGGCGACCGGGAGTGGCACATGCGGCCAGAGCTGAAGTACCAGTGGAAGGCCAACCGCTTCCGCCCGCCGTTCATGGGGTTCAACCGTCTCTTCCTCCGCCCCCTTCCCATCTCCCTCGTCCTTCTCTCTCCTTCCTTTTCTCCTCTCGTGTCCCTGCCCCACCTCCCTGCCTCCCCAACCCCCACATTCCCAACACCTGCAATCTCCCCGTTGTCAGGACCGGCGGCAAGGGCATGTACGGGTATGCAGCGGACAAGTTTCGGAAGAATCCGGGCGATCGGGAGTGGCACGTGCGGGCGGCGCTCAAGTACCAGTGGAAGGCCAGCCGCTTCTGCCCGCCCTTCATGGGGTTCAACCGGCACAAGTTCTGTGCGGCGGTGGGGCGGCGTAATGTTCTGTTTGTGGGGGATACGACTCAGCTGGCGCTGCACGACGTGTTTCTCAACCATGTCACCACCATCGCCACTCAGAAGGAGATTGGGGATATCGCCGACGCCTGGTGAGGCTTGGGGGAGGTGCTGTCCATGCAGTGGGGGCTGGGCTGGGGTGCCTGCTAGTGGGGGTTTGGGATGCCTGCCGATGGGGCGGCGCAGCGTGCTGTTTGTGGGGGACACGACTCAGCTGGCGCTGCACGACGTGTTTCTCAACCATGTCACCACCATCGCCACTCAGAAGGAGATTGGGGATATCGCCGACGCCTGGTGAGGCTTGGGGGAGGTGCTGTCCATGCAGTGGGGGCTGGGCTGGGGTGCCTGCTAGTGGGGGTTTGGGATGCCTGCCGATGGGGCGGCGCAGCGTGCTGTTTGTGGGGGACACGACTCAGCTGGCGCTGCACGACGTGTTTCTCAACCACGTCACCAACATCGCCACTCAGAAGGAGATTGGGGATATCGCTGATGCCTGGTGAGGGAAGGGTGTGTTGTGCGGTGGCAGTTGGGAATGCCTTTTGGTGGTCGGGGTTGGGAGTGCATGCTGATGGGATTTGGGTGGTGATGGTGAAAATCCTCAAAGGCCCTCATGTGCTTCCCCACCACAGCTCGACAGCCAACAACCAGCCAGCGGTGCTGCAACTGATGAGCCTGACCCGAATGCCCTCATCCCTGCTGCTCTCTAATCTCCCATCCCCATCCCGTTCTCCTCTCCCCCTCCCAATGGCAGGACGGCGCCCAACAACCAGCCGGCGTGTGCCACCAACAACCCCCACGTGGTGTGCTCCGACATCGTCCCAGGGGGCTTCACCTTCCGTGTCGCCCACAACAACCTGCTCACGCCGGATACGCCGGGAGGAGGGGCGTTCAACCAGCGGTGGCTGGGGCACCTGCGCAAATGGAACGTGTCAATTGTGGTTCTCAACAAGGGCTTTGAGCACCGCCCCAGTGAGTGCTGGGTGAAGGGGAGATGGCTGGGGGAACAGTGGTTGGGGGGACTGTGGCTGGGGACCGACTCTCCTGGGGGGGGAAGCGTTCAACCAGCGGCAGGTGGGGCACCTGCGGCAGTGGAACGTGTCCATTGTGGTTCTCAACAATGGCTTTGAGCACCGTCCCAGTGAGTGCTGCTGCTTCAAGGTGACTTTTGAGTCGACTCAAAAGTCATCTGCTTCTTCAAGGGCAGGGACACAGTGGCTGGTGTTAGAATTGAACCGATGGTTTGATTAGGAATCACAAGGGTATACATAGTTGGAGCCAGGGAAGGGGGGGGGGCGCTGGTTACCTAGCCAACATTATTGCCCCGCACCAATAAGTTGGGTTAGGGAATTATTGGGGGGTCCCATTAATGTTGGCCAAAGTTGGGCCAACCTTATTGGGGGGCCAATAATCTCCCAACCCAACCTTGGGGGCCAAATAATTGGGCCAAGGTTTGGGTTCCAACCCCCAACAAGGGTTAACCCTAGTTGTGCACCCAAACATATTTTGGGTGCCTATCTCTATCCTCGTAGGATCAATGCAGGATACAAAGGAGTAGTATAATCTAACAGCTGGGCTGGCAGTGGTTGGGAGGGCAGTGGTGAAGGGGACATAGTGATTGGGGGGACGCAGTGGTTGGGGGAGGGGCGTTCAACCAGCGGTGGCTGGGCACCTGCGGCAGTGGAACGTGTCGATCGAGGTTCTCAACAAAGGCTTCGAGTGGCGGCCGAGTGAGTGCTGCTTCGTTAAGGACAGGGACACAGTTACCGGGGGGGCGGTGGTTGGGGGGAACAGCGGTTGGGTTGGGGTTGCAATTAACCTGCGCTACCTGGGGGACCTGGGGTAGCTGGACACTGTGGAACGTGCTGGACAGTGATTGTCAAGTCAACTGACAGATATTATCAGCCTAGTGAGCTTTCAAACAGAAGTCTGTTTATCGATCATCATCCTTCACTAATCCTTTCATCTCCAACCATTCCCGTGACTATTTGTCTCCCCCCACCACTCCTCCCCCCCCACCCCCCCCACCCTCCCTCCCTTCCCCCCGCCTTTTTTTCTTCCCTGCCAGCCCCGGTGTATCTCAAGACGCTTCGTCAGACGCTCACAAAATTCCGCCAGGTGGCACCTGACACGCTGCTGATTTGGCGATCCACGTGGCGCGGCCATGAGGGCTGTGAGAATGCCACGGAGCCGCTGGCAGCGCCACCCGATAATGCCACCCGGGCTGGTCCATGGGCATTTGTACTGGAGCAGAATGAGGCAGTGCGGGATTTGATTCGGGTGAGTTGGATCTCACAGGTACCGTAAGTGAATTTTGTGCTCCTAGAATGTCGTGTCCTCTCTTGGCACTGCTTTCAAGTTTGAATTCAATGTTTGGTCAGAAACCGCCTCATGGTAGTTTGGGGAAATTTTACATTATCGAAATATTTTTGAAGTGAGTTACCCTTTTTTTGTTTCCCTCGCCCCCCCCCCCCCTCCTGCAGGAATTTGGTGGTGTGTTCATGAATCTGGATTTTTCCCTTGTCGATGCGACCGGATGGGCACCTACGACAACTGAATGGGCTCACAGATTGCTACTACTACTGCTTGCCTGGTCCTGTTGACCATTTCATGCGGCTTCTTTACAACTACCTCCTCATCCTCGATAGCAAAGGGCCAATTTCATCGGCTCAAGGAGGGTCTAAAACATAGCAGGGCTAGGCTTCTTGACATAATGAAGAAGTTTTTGTGTATCTTTAAAACGCGTGACTTTTTAATATGAGTTGGTGGGTGGGCTTGTACAATACCGAACAATCCGCCGACGAATACACGGTATCTTGTTTGGTCGTGGACTTGAAAAGGGGCGCGAAGGCAACTTCCCACCAATCAAATTCCACCATCGTGATGCTGCTTTCTTGACGATCCTGCCGTTCGTGCTATTGCAAGGCCTGTTGGACGGCCTCGATTGCGAGATCTCTGAGCTGAGTCCCACTCATATTTCTGGACCGATCCATCCACATGTGTGGTTTCTTCTAGCGCATCTCTATCGTCCACGATTTCCGCATCGACGGCTGTGTGCAGTTAAAGCTGCGGTCTACATACCTCGAGGGACAGGCCCTGGTTTATCACTTGAAAACAGGGTAGCAGACTCTCCAGAAGAAACGAATGATCGAGGCGGAAGGAGGGAGCGGGGTGGGCGCAAAGCTTTCCGCTTGGTTGTTTGTGTTTGGCGCTGAAATTTCCGCCTTTCCGCGGATTTGTTCCCCCAAGAAACCCAATCGCGAAATTGTTTCACATCGCCAACTTTTGTGCTAACTCATCGCACAAGTGTTTGGGGGAAAACCACACTTCGCTCTCAAGTCATCGCGCACCAAAGGGTGTGCACCTAGATTACCCCCCAAAACCCCCTTTTAGTATGTAGACCGCAGCTTTAACGCCTGGAGAACAGGCAGATCTGTTTTTCGGGGTTGCGTGTTCTCTTCTGTTCACGGCGCAGCAGCACCTTGTAGCAAGAGATGAGGATTCAGTCAAGCTTGTAGTGACAGATGAGTTAGGGGACGAGATGATAGTTCCACTGGCAGTGCTCGTCTAGTTCACTGAATCCTTGCACACGGACGCTGTGGAGTTTCTTTATCATCCGGTATCTAATTCTGCAGCGTTAGACTTATTCTAGGCAACGGTTTCTTTTTCCAGCATTCGCCTGTACGGTGAATCCTGTCATCCAGCATTGACCACATCTGACTCTATCCTGACCAGCATTGTTGATACTTGAGTTGCTTATATATTTATATATACGGGTTTTCAGCATTCACCCTTACGGTGAATCCTGTCATCCAGCACTGAACCACGTTTCACCCCCCTCCTGACCGGCATTTCCCCTCTCTGTTAGCACTTTCTATTCCAGCAATCTCCGCGCGGCCTACCCCGTATTCGCACTAACAAACTTGATTCTCGTTCTTTAAAGTGATTACACATTAGCTGAATTCGTCATAAATGGCATCAGTCGCGTTGGATCCTCCCCGCCATTGCTGGCGCGTCGCTCGGCCTCTTCCCGCCGTGATTCGCGCGTCCGCGTGTCGGAAGGGCGGAGTCAGTCAGCTCAAGAGCAGCCACCGACGGCTCCTCGTGCTCACCGCCAAGCCGAAATGGCGACACGGTACGGTCCTAACCCGCTCTTCTGTTTCGATTTCGTTGCCCAGTTTGTCTGACAGTTTGTCTGACAGTTTCTGTATTCAAAATTCTTAAGTTCCTCTTCTACCAAATATAATTCTCTCTGCTTTCTTTAAGCCAGCAATGTAGGCTTTCCAATCGCCGTTCTTAAGGCTCATTGAATGGCTAGGTTTCCTCGCCGTGCCCATCGTCCCCTGCAGTTACCTGAAAATACAATCCCTGGTTGTCCCCTAAAATGTCCGTTACCTTGTTGTTTCCTACTTCCCACATTCCTCCTATCAGTGACGTTCAAGCGTAGCAGTAATAAATGCCACGCGTCTCACTCCGAGTTCAATGGAAAGTAAGACTACCGCTTCCATTTCCTCCTCTGCTTCCACTTCCCCCTCTGTTCCACATCCTTCTCTGCTTCTACCTTCCATTGTTCCCGCTTCCATTCTCACCATCACATCCCAGCTCCGGTTTCAGGTGACTCACACGCTCCTACCTCACACATTCCCTCCCCTCCTCGTCACACGCTATCAGGTCGCACTTCCTCGCAACAACGGACACGGCAACGGCAGCTCCCGCAGGTCCCATGACCCCCTGGGTCCGGCTCTGAGCGAGCGAGTCACCAGAACGCAGCACGGAACCATGAGAGGGGATACGAGGGGCGATATGAGGGGCGGTATGGGAGAGGGTATGGGAGAGGAGACGTTAGAGGGTACGCTCAGAGTGGGTCCGAACGGCCCGCTTCTCCAGGCTCTTCCCCTTCCCCTTCCCCCTCCTCGTCCACCTCCCCTTTCGCGTCCTCCTCGCCTCCTTCGCCAGTTTTGCCCAGTCCGCCGCACAATCCCTTCCTCGCCTGCCACCTCAACTGCCTCGCCAGATTCGAATGCTGCGGCTGGGGGGGCAGCTTCTGGGGATTTTCCGTTCCAATCGCATCACACGATCCTGGACGTTGATCAGGTTGATCCGACGGCTGGCGACCGCTGCCGCGTGGGGTGGGCTGGACTCGGCTGCAGCGGCAGCGGCTTGGAAGAGGAGCTTTCTGAAGCGGGTGGTTGACACGATCACCGATTCCAAATACTTCAATGTAAGCACATGGCGCGGCAAGCGCAGGGCTTGTTGAGGTGCTACAAATTAAGCAGCCTTCTGAAGAGGGTGGTTGACACGATCACCGATTCCAATTACTTCAATGTAAGCATGTGGTCACATGGTGATGTAAGCACTCAGCAATGTAAGCACAGAAAAACGCGTGTATTGAGATGATGAGGCGCCTCAAAAGCGGAGCTTTCTGAAGAGGGTGGTTGACACCATCACCGATTCCAAGTACTTCAATGTAAGCATGTGGTGATGCTAGCTCAGGGGGGCATGGTTTGAGGTGCTTCATGTCAATATCTTCCTGATGCGGGTGGTTGACACCACATCACTGACTCCAAAAACTTCAATGTAATCACGTGGTCACATGGTGATGTAAGCACTCAGCAATGTAAGCACTCAGCAATGTAAGCACAGAAAACCGCGTGTATTGAGATGATGAGGCGCCTCAAAAGCGGAGCTTTCTGAAGCGGGGTGGTTGACACCATCGCCGATTCCAAATACTTTAATGTAAGCACAGGGCAGTATAAGCACTTCGAGTATATGCACACTGGCTACTTCCACAGGGCAGTGTAAGCACAGTATGTGCCACACACTGAATTTGATGCCCACAGCTGGAAATGCAGAGACGTATCCCACAGTTATCGTCTCACTCATTCTCGTTCCGCCGTTGTTTTCCCTCCCACCTTCCGCTCCCGCCCCCCCCTCCAACTCACCCGTCCATCATATCATCCTCCCGAACCCCCTTCCTCATCGCCTTGCTCCACTGCTCAACCCCTCTCCTCTCCGCCAATCAGCTGCAGACAGCAGGATGGCTCATGGCAGGCGCATATCTCTCAGTTAGCTTCTCATTCATTCTCGTTTCCAAATTATTTCCCCCCACCTACCACCTGCTCCATTGCACCACCCCTCTCCTCTCGGCCAATCAGCTGCAGACATGCCGATGGCTCATGGCGGGTGCTGCCACGGCGGCAGTGCGGCGGGCAGGGGCACAGCACATATCATCCAGGTGAGATGAAACTCGCATGTCGCTTAGGTGAGTGAGTGGAAACGCGCATGTCATTCAGGTGTGATAAAAGTGCGCGTCATTCAGGTGAGATGAAACGCGCAATTCATTCAGGTGAGATGAAACGCGCAATTCTCAGGTGAGATGAAAACGCACCAGTTCCATCAACAGCCCTCTCCATTCTCGCGCCCCCGTCCTCCCCGCTTCTCCAGGCCATCGAGTCCGTCCCTCTGCTTGCCTCACTAGAGATTCTCGTTGGTGCTGCTGTCACCACCAAACGTCGCCACCAGCAACGTGACTACCACCAGCACCACCAGCACCACTAATCAACAGTTCATC